ATACAATACAATAATAAATGTACACAAATCAAATATATATACATCAGAAAGTCTTAGATGTATATAACCAAAAATGCTTCATTTCGAGACAAAATAGGCGTATACGGAACAACCAAATAATGTTGGTTTGATTTTCTTTTTTATTATTATTTTTCTTTCTATTTTTTTTTTTTAAATATATGTGGGTGTAAAATTAAATCCACTTTACGATTCTAAAAGTGGGTGTTTCGCTATTTTCTTTTTGCATTATTTTGAAAGGTAAGAACTAACCCAATGAATAACAAAATTTTGATCCATAGGAATTTGATATTGAAATCTTTACGTATCATTCTTGCCAAAACATGAAATTATATTCAGTTTTTTTTTTCTATTTTTGATATCGCATCAAATAAAAAAAAATTGAAATTCTAGAAATTACATGTTTTCCATAAAATAAAATCAATTATGGGACTCTCTAAATAATTTATCTATTTATTCATTAAAAAGAAAATGAGAAGTCAATGAATCCTTAAGTTGGAAAGATTTGGATAGTATTATAAATAATTCCTTATCGCTCTTGTTCAACTTAGTTTTTTTGGTATCTCTTACAAATTGGAAAGAGAAATGGAGCCTTATTTTTAAACAATAAAATCAAATTGGGTAAGTTTCTTCTTTTGAAATTATATATTTTTTTTAGTATAGAGTTATAGAATTTATAATTTATTTGTAGTGCGCATCAACTTGCAATTATGGTATTCTTTCTTGGATGATTTTATTGTTTTATTTTGGTGACAAATAGAAAAAAAAAATACAGGATAATAAATAGTCGTATGATTAGACATTTCTATCTTCATAAAATATAATATTTATTAACTTTCAAATCGTCAACAATTTTATGGTATTAAAATTAAAAAGTTGATACCACTCGACCTCAAAAAAAGAATATAAAAAAAACTGACAAGACGATCAAAGATAATACATCATCATGAGAAGAACTACGAAACTCAAGAAAGAAAGAGTTCTAGTAATTTCAAGTTTCTTATTTTTATAGGACACAACTGATTAATTATTACCATGTCAATGCTACCAAATAAGTATTTAAAGACATGTGTCTTAGTTCATCAGCGAGATTTGACCAATTTTTCAAAGACAAACCTTCCATCTTAGCTAGAGATACGCTCACGCATGCACTTAAGTCATGTCATTTATAAGAAGGGTTATTAACCTCTTTACTTTAGCAATATAGATGTGTTAGATGGCGCCACACGTGAAATGAGCTATCTCACCTACTTTGTTAAGTCTAGTGTATATTAATCTCGCTGGAAAGGATATCAACTTTAGTACGTTAATATTTGCTCTCCCTTACTACATTGGATGATCCTTATAAAAAAGCTAACATAATCAATTTACACGGCTGATTAATGTTATATGTAGCTGGACAAAATTTCACCTATAATAATAGCATACCCACGACTTTTTCAAAGTTCATATCGTGGGATGAATGTTAATTATTATTTTACAAATTAAGTGTATTTCCTGTTCATTTTCTCTTTTCACACCCTTCAAAAAGTATTTTCTTAGCATTTTTTTAAGAAGAACGTATACACCTTTCTTATCTTATATATACATTCCTTCAAAGCAAAAAAATTCCCCTAGTAAAAGGGTATAACAGAGAGAGGAAAAAAAGAGGCGAGAGAGACAAAAGTGAAGTTTCCATATTTATAAGGATTTTGTACATTAAATATTATTTCATACTAATGTGATATTATTCTTATTTTACTTAATTAATTACCAATCAAACTATAAAAATTGACCAAAACTCAGCGGTAATTGACATGTACCTTCAACCATGAGATCGTGAGCTAAGAGATAATAGTAAAATTAAGATATTTTATTTCTTTAATAAATAAAAGAACCACAATAAAAAAATATTTGAAGCTCTCATTTACTCTTTAGAAATCTTATATCTATCCCATGAGTTATGTTTTGAGCTGCAAAGGATTCAATCTCAAATTGAATTTGAAAATGAGCCTCTTCAAATTTGTATTAAATATAAATATAAATTAAAGCTTAATGACCATAATCAAAATATATAATAATGTAAGAAAATATAAAAATATAAATTAAATAAACGTAAAAAAATCTAGTAGAATTGAATAAATTATTCAATATATGATCACCATAATATACTTATAAGATATATAGTGAAAGAGGTAATCATGAAATGTTAGGGTAAATATATCAAAATGGTCCATCGTCTTTTAGGTAATTCAAAATTTAGTCTTTTATCTTTGAAATTATCAATTTTACACACAAATGTATTAAAAAATCTTAATGGACTCTTCCCGTTAAATTATTTTCTTATTAACATATTTTGAAAAGTAAGCATGTCATTTAAGAAAAATAGATTTTGTTGATGAGTGGATTGAATTTTACTAACAAAATATACCTTTTAGAAAATTTTACAAGAATTTTTATTAATTGAAAACGTTTTAAACATTAATAGTAAATTTAAAATTTAAAATGATGAAGGACTAATTTAAAAATTACCTAAAAATAGGGATCATTTAGCAAAAAAAATTATTAGATGTATTTAATTTTATAAATATAAAATAGTTGTCACGTTGTGTCGTCTGGGCGTGGGAGCGGTGTTAGGGAAGGGGAGTAGTGTGTAAGGAAAGCGGCAGCAGAAAAAGGCTCAGTTAATTTGCCGACATGTAGTTTCGGCTACGGTCAAATGACGGTGCCAGTTGGGGCACGTGTAACTCTGCAACTCCATTTTTATTATTTATTTATCCCTCGAAAAGACTGCTTTCTTTTTTTCTTTTTTGTTTGCTAAATCAAAAGTTTGAATTATTGACCAAAGACTCGATTTATTGCCCCTCGTGACTGACTATTACGTATACCATTATTCACCCTCTGACTCATCCTCCCCCACGCGCTCCCTTCCCCCGTCTACTCCACGCGCTCCCTTCCCACCTCTAACTCTCTTCATTTTTGTGCCTTTGACCTTTTCAAACTCAAAAACTTTCTTAGCTTTATTTTTCTTTCCTTATGTCGGGAAAGATTCCCCGCAAGTAAACGTTCTTCTCGTAAATATTTTGTTAAATTAAAATTATTAAATTAAAAAATCGTGAGTTTAAATTTACTTTTTTCATATATTATATTTTAAAAAAATAAAATTTATTTTTTAAATATAGTATAATTTTAGTTTTTTTGACCAATTATTTTTAAACAAGTTTATCTCAACTAATTATAATATTTATTTTCGATCACAAAATTGTGAGTTCAAATTCCTACCTCAAAAATTTGCTTAAGGTATATACTTAATGTTACATTTAAGATAGATTTTGTTTGAATATGCTATATATAAAATTTTAAACTTTATATTATATTTAAAAAAATATATTTATTTATGCTATTTATATAATTATCTAAAATATTTGTTATCTTCTGTAAGATAATTATCCCTCATAACACACCACATTGACACTAAGTGATCTCTGATAAGTTAAAGACTTAAATGTTGCCTCTTATAAGGTTATATTGTCACCAAAAATAAATAAGAAAAGAAATCTCTTCGTCTAAATATATTTGTCGTGATATTTCTCTTTTTAAAATTATTATTTGTAAAAATACTCCTCAATTTAAGAGATTAAATGTTTTGTATTATTTCTCTTTATTTTCTAATTCGTTTATTAAAACATTTATCAAATTATAATCAAATTTCAATGGAAAAGAATTAATTTAAAAAATAAATCGACTAAAATCCAAAATTTATTTTTATAGAGTGAAAAACTAAACAAGTGAAAACTATGAGTTTCTGTAAATATAATTTTTTATGAATTAGGTTGTTATCAAATGGATTTAGGTTATTAAAACTAACTTAGTAAATAAAAGTCAACGATATTTTTTTCCTTTAATATACCAATGATATTAATGAAACAAAGACAAGTTTTTAATTGCATTTAAAGTAATTTAGTCAAGTTTATAAGTGTGATTACTCTACACCTCTTTCTAGGTTTTATAATAAAAATTAATTAGACTTAATTAAATAGCATATATAGATCATACACCAAACTACTCCAAAGAAAAATCATACACCAAACTTCACTTTAATATCTCTCATTTTTCCGATAAATCAAAATTTGTTTTGAACTGCACACAATAAATTCTAACCCATTATTTAAAAAAAAATAATAACAACAATAATAATAAATTCTAACCCATTCAAACACGAGTTGATCACATTTTAAAAAGTAATGATAATAATAAAAAGAAATTATAGCAGTAAACTCGAAAAAGAATCTAAATTCTAAATATCTTTCATCATAAGACAATTAAAGTTGGAAACAACTTATAATATATAACAAATGATGCCTAAATAGAATTCTGATTTAAAAAAAAATTAAAAACAAATATATTCTCCCTATTAAAAGAAATATAGACGACATCGGAGATTTGAACATAATTCAAATGGTTAAATGCTTTCGAATCTCCACATATCCGATTAAAATAGTGATTTTATTTTAAAAAAATATATAATCCTCTCTTCTTCTTTTTTTTTTTAATTTCTTCTCTCAACCTAAAAATTCAAGGATAAATTTAATATTTAGTGTACTCCATATTAGCACATAAATTATTAATATGAATTTTATTTTATAGTCATAGGGACTAAAAATTTAGGAGGGGTACAACTCTTTAAAATTATCCAACTAACATTAATTAATTATTATTTTCTTAGTTTCCAATATAAATATCATGACCTTAAAAAAACAATAATTATATTAATTATGGAGTCGACCACACTATTATTACTTTTAGCAGCTATAATAATAGTTAAATTAATTTTAAGTACCCAAGAAATACAAACTAGTTCGTCAAAGGTCTTTATAGAATGATTATTATTTTACTGGTCCAATTCAAACCTAAACACTTTTCACTTTCTTATTTATTTATTTATTCATTTTTATATAAATAAGAAGAAGACGTTCTATTATAATCCAGAAGACTGATATAGCTTCTTCTTCTTATCCGTCGTCGTTTTGATCTTCTTCTTCTTCTTGATTGCGCCATGTCTGATGAATTCAGAGAGCTTTTTTTTTCGAACCCTTTTCGAGATCATGGTGGGATGGATTATACGGAGGGGATGGACTACGATTCTCTAGCGAGAGCCTTTGGGTTGGATTCTGATCAAGCCATTGATAATATTGAATCGCCCCACCAGCGCCTAGGCGCCGGTGGTAATAGCAACAGTAACGAAATTTCGGGGACTCCCATGAATTCTTCTGGTTCGTTTTCCTCTTCTGAGGAGGATGATTCTGGAAAGAGTGGGAAAGAGAAGACTGATCACCAGATTTCCAAAGAAATGGAAGAAGATCATAATTATGGAGGAGGAGAGAGCTCTAAGGCTGCGTAAGTTCTTCTTTTTTTGGTTATATTTACATCTACTTTTATGGGGTGTTCGAAATATTTTGTAATTTCATTCTCGTATGTCTAATCTGTGTAAAACTATCTACTAGAATGTCCGGTTTCTCGTGGAATATAGGTACTAAAAGTGTGCAACCCAATCTACGAAAATCAATTAACAATCAGAGATTAATCACAAATTAAAAATCTCATCTCGATTAATTTAAGATTAGAAATTTCGTAAGTAGAAATTCTCTTTGTTCTATGACTTTTTTTAGAATGACATACTTGTGTAATCATGTATCACACCCTTAGAAATGAGAGATTTGAAAATAAAACACAACATATAGTATAGATATTAAGTTAATAATTGAAAATCAATAATTAAATAAAAATGAAAGTGACGTTACAAAGTTTGAAGGCAAGTTATACCTTCTATTTTGACACCATGTTAAATTACGTAAAAGTTTAAGTTGATGAGTTACTGTAAATTTAACGAAATCTTTCGTGTTTGTTTGATGAAATGAACAGGACGAAATCAAAGAAGAAGGGAGAGAAGAAGGAGAGAGAGCCGAGATTTGCTTTCATGACAAAGAGCGAGGTGGATCATTTGGAGGATGGATATAGATGGAGAAAATATGGACAAAAAGCTGTCAAGAACAGCGCTTATCCCAGGTAATTTGATTCTCTAATTTCATGTAATTTTAAATTAAACTAATTAAAAGGCCATAAATAAATTAATTTTAATTTTCTGTTTGGTTCTTTTAGAAGCTATTACAGATGCACGACTCAGAAATGTGGGGTGAAGAAACGAGTGGAGAGATCATTTGAAGATCCATCTATTGTGATTACGACGTACGAAGGACAACACAACCACCCAATTCCGGCGACGTTAAGGGGAAACCTGTCGGTTGCCTCCGCGTTTCCGCCGTCCATGCTGACGCCAATGCCGGTGGTCGGTGCTGCCAGGTTTCTTCCAGATCAACTATTGTTGAGTAATAATAATAATGCTTCTGCAGGCCATAACCACGTCGCCGGCGCCGCCGCGTCCGCTTATTCACAAAGCAGCCTCGGCTATTCTTATGGCGGCCGGCAGCCGGAGTATGGGCTTCTGCAGGACATTTTTCCGGCTCCGTCGTCGTCGTTCTTTAACCGGCAGCCGTGAGAAAGGCCTTTGTTTTGTTTTTTTTTTTCTCTCTTTTTTTTTACATAAAAGAGATTTTGATCACAATTTCTCCCTCTCCTTCTCTCATATATAGTAATATACTGTAGATATGCTTGTTGGATTTTTTGTTTCTTTTTTTCTTTTTTTCGAATTAGATATCGTTGTTGGAAACTTGGATAGACTATAGACAATCTTTTGCGTACATTTTATACTATACAACTAGAAAAATTATCGGCTGACTGGTCAATATCATATATATATATATATATATATATATTTTTTTTTATTGAAAAAGAGAGAAAAGGTAGGAAAATAAATATATTTTCGTTTTCCAAAAAAAATTGTCAATTTTTTATCGATAGTTAGCAAATAAATAAATATAAAAACATTAAGTATTGTTCATACAACTATGACCTGTTGGTTTTTTTTTTTTTGGAAAATACTTGACTCGTGAGAATTAATAATTGTGTTCGACACAATGGTTGAAAAATAAAAATGAAACGTAAAAATGAAGATTTTTTTTAGTAAAAAAACTAAATAAAGGCAAGAGAAACTAATTTAAGAAAAGTATTAATTAATTAATTTGAATTGAATCGATAGGGGATGACAAAAAATTCTTGTGGGTCGGGTCTTTGCCTCACCCATGTGAATTGGGATCGGAGTAGGTGATGGAGAATTATTTTTATTATTATTTTTTTTTTAAGGGATTGAATTCTTCATCTTGACTAGACTCTCTCTGTCTGGGTTTTTAAATTATTGTTTGATATTTCTTTACTTCCTTTTTTTTTTATGATTTGTTCAGTAGGAAACAACTTTTTTTGGGTTATGTGACGATGATCTGAAATTATTGGATGGAGTTGAAATAATGTGGCTGACCACGCTTTTCATCATTGAAAGTATGAGAGAATGAAATTTACGAAATATATTTCCAATCTTGTATCCAATACAAAGTTAGTAGGGAGACATATATATACAGAACATTTATCCAATAGTATTATTGATCAGAAGATAATTAGTTACAATGTACTGTGATAGTCATATTCAATAATAATTTGTTCAACGGACTCACACGAAAAGTAGGCAATTAAATAGCTTTTATTGCCATTTATAGTAATGAATATATTTACCTTTTTTAGTACAACATGTGGRATTGAGATTCAAAACTTACGATCTTTTGATCAGATATAGGTATCTTTAACTGAATGAGCTAGATTGAACTTGACTAAACTATTTACTTATTTAATTTAATATATAACTAAATTATAACTTTCTCTTCCATTTGATGTATTCCAAATTTAAAGTATATGTTATGTTATATTATTGGTGTGAATTTTTAGGGTTGTGTCTAATAGGTCYATGAACTTTAAAATTTGTCTAATAGAGATTCTTAAATTTTCAATTTTGATTATAGATTCCAAAACTTTCAATTTTATGTCTAATAAGCTTAGTACTTTATTAAATATATATTTTAAAAATTAATTGACGTATTAGACATAAAATTGAAAGTCTAGTTAGACTCAAAGTGTGTCTAACTAGACTTATGTTGTGTCTTATCCTAATATTCTTTATTCAAAAGAAAAAAAAAAGAAATCCAATCTTCCAAAAAATTCTCCGAGTTAAAACAATTTTTTTTATCAAAGGATTGTGAGTYCGAATCCCTTAAAAAAAATTCCACCCTGTAAATCTTCGAAATATATATTTCAATATCAAAACGCCTTTTTTTTAGTACAACATCGTGGGGGTGGGGGTTCAAACTCATGACCCTTTGAGTATAATATCAAAGCGCCTTAAATGAYGAGTTATTCTCTAAAATTTAGATATATGGCTATGAATTTAATTTCATGGCGTCTCTTCTCATAAATGGGCACTTTGATCTATTTCAAAAAAAAAGAAAAAAAAAGAAAAAAAAGAAAGGCACTTTGAAGTAGGTTTCTTTAATCCCATATTGTAAACTAGATACAAGATATCAAAATTTAATTAACACGTTTTTTTAATAATGTTCTAGTGACTTATTTTTCTATTGAACTTAATTAATTGGTTAGAACAAAATCAATAATAGTGCTATCAAACACTTTTTTTTAATAGAATATAAAGAACAAGAGTCAATAAATGATTATGAAAAAAAATATTTTTTTTTTCTTTCGAACCGAAAAAGAAAAATAAGAAGAAGAAAGATTGACAGAAAAATGATTTAGACCATTTGAAATTTCAATTATTTTGTCATGTTATACAAAAGCTAAACAATCACACATGGTTGTTACATGTTGGCCATCAACATAATTAAACTTCCACCGTAAAATGATTGTGAAATTTTTTTTCATAATATTTAAAATGAAGCGAGCATAGATCATCGATAATTGACATATATAAAATGTTGTGTATTCGATCTTTTAACTCATACGTTATGAAAAAAACAAACAAATTAATCATTTAAGTAGGAGAGATAAAAGTAGTTTCAAATATTACTTGACTGTATGAAAATGAGAAGATTAAAACAAACCAATTTAATTTATCTCTTGTGCTGTATATAAAAAGTTTTAATAAGATATGGGAGAACAAAAAAATGTATATATATATATATATATATATATATGATGATTTACTTTTTAAAATAATAATAATAACAACATGTTTGTTGATATGTCAGAAAAATTTGGGGACTGTTTTTAATAGTTCAATAATTGTAAAGAGAAAATATTGAATCATAGATGTTTAAATTGATAATCTTAACATGGTTTAATTAAATGTATATATACTTTATTAATATAAAAAAATAATAAATATATATTCCCATTTTGAAATTTGAATGTTTGGAAGAAGTTTGAGTACAAAACAAGGCTCAGTAGGCCCAAATTGGGAAAATCGTTATCAAACCAAAGTTACCGAACCAATCTGTCCGCAAAAATTAGATACCAAAATTTAAAATCTAATCGACAGTTGACTTATGGAAGCAAATCAATTGATTACACGTATTATTGGTTTTCCTGAGACGTGGATCTAACTCACTATTCAAAATCAATATAAATGAATTTACTCAACACATCAACTTACAATTTTAGATTGAGTCGTATTTATTTATCTTTAAGATGATATTATAGTGGAAGGTTGTTGGAATCTTGTTTCCTAAACTTAAAACCTCAAATGTATCCAATAAAATATTTAATTTTCAATTTTTTGTCCAATGAAATAGTTTTTTTTGACATTTTCAACTTTTTTAAGCTAATAATCTACCCATACACAATTGAAAGTTTAATAACTTTATATATATTGGAGAGAAGAAGTTACTAATTTTTATTTATATATATATACATTTTTTAGTCCAACGACACGTAGGAGTGAAGAATTTTGGATATGATTATATGACGAATAATTACAAAATGATTATTATTATTTTTTTAGTACAATAAATTGGGTAATAAGGATTTGAATTGAACTTCCTATTTCAAGGAGAGGAATATGTGCCAATCTATGTTGATATTGGCACATTACAAAATGATCATTGATGGGTGTAGTTATTGTTACCAAATGGGAAAGAAATTCATCGCTCGTGGCATGTTTATAATCATTAGATGTAAGTATGTTTTTATAATAATGGTAATTTTAATTTTCACGTGCATCCATAACTTTATTTTTCTTTTTCTCTATGAATCAAAAACTTAAATGAGTATACATTATAAATAGGATATTTATAGGTTGAACGTAATTTTAATATAGTTGGAATTCAATTTCAATTTGCTATATATGAATTTAAAAGATGTTCATACAATTTGGTCCAATTTTGTTATCATATTGAGATTATATATGTGATAATAAATTTGTATTTTTCAATTCTTTTAAAGTTAAGCGGAATGTAAATGAAAAATGAATGACTTTTTGGATGTGTTAAAAATGAACGAAGGAGGGTGAGGCTTAACCAAATTAAAGAGATGACATTTAAAGCAATCTCAAACTATACAACCTATATTTATAACTTTATTATATTTTTTAATGTAAAGTAACCGGGTTGAATTATCTTATTTATAATATGATATTTAGAAAGAAAAAAAAATTTAATATCATTTACTTTAATACAAGGGTGGAGGATTCACAATTTGATGAGAAGAGAGACAAAATTTTGTTACATTTCCCTCGTAAAAAAAGTTTGGGAGGAAAGAAGATTTAGAATCTTAATATTGTATATGATCTTTAAAACTATTTGATATTATTTTGATTTAAATCTTAATATTGTATATGATCTTTTAAACTATTTGATATTATTTTGATTTCTCCACTTCTACTTTAATTTATTTTAATGGTGGTATTTCAATTTTAGCATACATACTTGATTCTTTTATTTTTATTTTTTATCTCACTTCTTTTAATTATAATTTTAGATGATACTATTTTTTATAAAAAAAAATTAAATGAGACTTTATCTATTAATTTAAACGTAGCATTAAATTTGTATTATTTTTTATGTTATGTATAAAATTTTATAATTAAAAATTAAGTTGATAACTTTTTAAGAGCATAAAACCAAAATAAATGTTTCAAAATTCAAAAATTAAAATGAACTAAATTAAAGTAAACAAATCAATTATTTAGTTTAGGAAAGATCCGATCGAAAGATGGAATCTCCATAATCACTCTTATTCCTTCCTTCATTAGCGGCCGTCGTAGACAATGATATTTAAAATTACAAAAAAAAATTTGTCAAAAACCAAAAGTGACGAAGCAAAAAATATAAAATATAAAATTTTACTGATAAATTATGTTCCATTAATTGTACTGTTCTTCTCAAGTTGCCCTCTTGTCTTGTAATTCTCAACCGGAAAAACAAAAGAAGAAGAAGAAGAAGAAGAAGAAGAAGAAGAAGAAGAAGGAAAAAAAAAAGACGCCGGGCAACTTTGGGAAATGGGAAGCATTATAAAATATTTCAACTGTCGTCAAACCGGAGCCAAATCGGGAGTGGCGATCACAAGATCTGCGGAACAGTGAAAACAACAAGCCAACTACTGCAGAACTACCGCGTCTCAACAACATCTACTGCGAGCGACCCATCATCAACTTCCCAAAGATCAGTGGAGAACGACCCACCCGCTGACATTTTACCCAATCTTGAAGCAAACGCATTCCCTCTTCTGTTTCGTCCTCTATATCACGGGGAGGTGTTGGATCTTTGCCCTACTAGGGTTTCTTTTTTTATCTCCTTGTCTTATCCCGGATGTGCTAGGCTCTCGTTTCTGCATCGGATTGCGCTTGTGCGTGCACGGTATGCGTCATTCTTCGATCTGCATTTGTGGCTATTTTTGTTGCTTGGTGTTTGGGATTCCGTGTAATTCGATAGAGGGTGGTGGGTTCCTTTTTTTGATTGTTTTGGTTTTGTGCATTTTGATTTTGGCAGGCTTTGCTGGGATCTCTAATGGAGGATTCGCAGGGAATCAATCCCGGCCTGGTACAATTTCTCCCCCTTCAATCGTCGGTTTAATCACTTCTTTGTTGTTTAGATTAATCGTCGAGGAGTTTTTGTTTCTATACTCTGAATGGATTGCGAGTTAGTTATTTTCAGGTGCTGCTTCGTAGTGTAGTTTAATTGTCCATATATGGTATAGTATTTATTAATTTTGTCGTTCGGGGAAGTATTTATTGTCAATGGACTGAGCTGGTGGTAATAATAAATGTTAAACAATTTGCAGAATTAGCTTCGACTTTTTGATTAGTGGAAAGTCTCCGCTTAATTTCTTCATCCCACGAATGAAATCAATGTACTAATATCGAACTTGAGGTGAAATTTGTTTGTATGCCACGTGCTCAAAAAACTAATTATGGAAAGAGTACAGACTAGACAACATGAACGTACTTGAAAAGAAATCCTTCCAATTGCTTATGTTTACTTGGTTTGTTTTTCACGCAACACTTGATCTCATTGGTGATATCAAAAGTTATTGGTATGCTTCAGGTTTCATTTTTGCTGGGCGTGATTCCAATTTTTGTTGCGTGGGTATATTCAGAGTTTCTAGAGTATCAGAAGTCTCCACCTCCTTCTAAAGTGTGAGTAATTTTCTTCGATGTGTACCATGGATGGTGAAATGAATTGTTTCATTTATCCTTGAAATGCTGAGCTGGATCTTAGTTATGTCTTTGCCACCAACTTTGAATTTATAGAATAGGCTAATACATTTGTAGGGATCTGGTAATCTTATTGAGTCTCCTGGGGCTCTGAATTCGTTGCTCTCTATGATTACAGTCATTCAGACAATAATCTTGTTGAATTGGGTGAGGTGAAAGGTGATAAAATTAAAGATGATGAGGCTGCTCTGCTGGAAGGAGGCCTTACAAGATCAGTCTCTGCAAAGTTGCATAGTTCATCAATTAAGACAAACTTAATCAGGTTATTTCATATTTCTTACTATACTGCTTTACCTCTTTTTCTCACATACGCGCCAAATACATCCTTACTGCTCAAACTTTTACAATTTAGGTTTTTGACGTTGGATGAGTCTTTCCTGTTGGAAAATCGAGCTACCTTGAGAGCAATGTAAGTTGTTAATTAAGCAGTTGGCAGGTAATGATGCAAAAACTGATGACTTACAACCGTGCACTCATTAACAATCATATGTAGGTCCGAATTTGGGGCGATCCTTGTGTATTTCTACATATGCGACCGAACAAATATACTAGGAGATTCTAAGAAGGTGCTTGAACTCGATCTTACCTCTTGTTCTATCTGTAACATTTATCAGTATCTGGATTTTTATTAGCATTCCATTATACATTGCAATGTTATATTGTTCTGGTAATATAAGTCGTGGAAGTGCACCATATCTATATAGCACTGTTGTAGTGTTGTAAGCTTCTCGGTGGTATATTTTCCAACTACCATAAACTTAGACTAATGTTCTGTAAAAGCTCTTTCGATTGAGTGTCAAGTTTTGGCTTTTCAATTCTTTCTTGGTCCTTGCTAGATTGTCTCCTCCCTCCCATCCTGCTTTTCTTCCATACTGCAGATATTTCTAGCACCACACACAAATAAATAGGGACTTGCTGTCAACCACATTTTTGTTACATGTTCATAAAATTCAGATTTCTCACATTATTATATTTCTTAGAGAACAAGAAAGGAATCCGATCATACTTATCGATAGATTACTTGATGGAGTTTAGTTTACTCAGCTAATTATTAATGGTTTTGTCTTGAGCAGAATTACAATCGGGATCTCTTCCTCTTTCTCTACGTCCTTCTCATCATAGTTTCTGCAATGACTTCTTTGAAGAAACACAATGATAAATCAGCATTCTCTGGAAAGGCAATACTTTACCTAAATCGGCACCAAACAGAGGAATGGAAAGGGTGGATGCAGGCAAGTGCTTCGCTATAAAGATAAGACCTGTGATTAAATACCTAAACTAACAAATGGTACAAGTTTAAGTCCTAAATGTGAGGGGCTTATGCTATTTATCCTTGATTCTTTGTCATTTCTTTAGCAGTTGTAGGTGTCAAAAAGTTAATTTCTTGCCATAAATTGAGGATATTTTGAGTTTTTTAATTTTTTCTTTTTCTGAATGAGCAATAATATTCTACTAAACACTAGAGGTATACCAAAAAAAAAAGGTAGGATGATTAATTTGGATATTTTCATATCTATATTAAGCGATGCTTCAACTTTTGTTAGATCATTTTAGATGTAGTGTTGGGATCTTTTAGGTCACAAGGTTAACGAGTTAGTATATCTTGAAGAGAAATTTCTATGTGATAGAAAAAGTTGATATATTCCATAGAGAAGTTACCATGTGATTTAGTTCAATTGAATCTTTGGTCTAATTTCAGGACTTGTAGCTTCATGTTTGTTTCATTTGAAGTAACCTTGCTTCTGGGTATTTTTAGCACGTGTTTGTTGCTCCCCCAAGTACCAGTTGTACATTTCAATCAGTTTCTTGTGCTTCCCAACATTGTGATTGCCTTTTTACACTTATTTTGGTTCTTGCAGGTTCTATTTTTAATGTACCATTATTTTGCTGCAACGGAAATTTATAATGCAATACGGGTATTTATTGCTGCTTATGTGTGGATGACTGGGTTTGGCAACTTCTCCTATTATTATATTAGAAAGGATTTTAGCTTAGCACGCTTTGCTCAGGTGATTTTACGGCTTCTTTTTCTTTATTTAAACCTGCACTGCACAATTGTTTCACTGATCAAGTTTGTCTGGAACTTCCATCCTGAACTCCGGGATACCAACAGTGCTTGACCTTTTTCTAATATGTGATGCAGATGATGTGGCGGCTAAATTTCTTTGTCGCATTTTGCTGTTTTGTTCTTAATAATGACTACATGTTGTACTACATCTGTCCAATGCATACACTCTTTACTCTCATGGTGTATGGAGCTCTTGGAATCTTTAACAAATACAATGAGATAAGATCAGTGATGATTGCGAAGATTCTTGCTTGCTTCCTTGTGGTTATTGCAATTTGGGAAATTCCTGGAGTTTTTGACATACTCTGGAGTCCATTCACACTCCTGTTAGGTTAGTTTTGTGTTTTTTACAGATGAAGTTTGTTCCTATTTAACTTGCTCTATATTCTTTTTTTCCTCCATGGGATGCAAATTTATAAGGTGTGAAGGTATTAAGTTGATAGACATTAAGGGTTGTTTGGAAATCTGTTCTAAATGTAGTCTTCTGTCTCGTTTCTAAAATTATTTTCTTAAAATTGTGATTGAATAACAAGTAAAATTATATGTTTGTTCACATCAAAATTACTATTTAAATTAATGTTTCTGAATAAAATAAACACTGAAAGGAAATGCCAAATAATAATAATACTAAACTATCCTAACACATTATTACATAATTTTTGTTCTAAAAAATAGAAAACTTTTTTGAAGACAGTTTCCAAAAACCTCTATTTTCCCTTTCCAGAATCTTATAGTAAATTTCACTGGAGTTTATATCATTGTAAGATATAGGTTAGTGAACTAGTCATTTTCATGCTCTGTAAGTGTATCTAGTTATTTGTCCAACTTATGTAATATGGTTAATTTTGTTGTTCAAAGGTCAATTTTAGTTGTGAAGTGCCACATTCTCTGCTGACCTGACAGTGTGGAGTATAATGAATTTTTTTCTTTATTTTCCTTTTTATTGACAGGGTATACCGATCCTGCAAAACCTGATCTTCCCAAACTGCATGAATGGCATTTTAGGTCTGGTCTGGATCGCTATATATGGATCATCGGCATGATATATGCATACTATCACCCCAATGTAAATTGGTCTATGTTTTTTGACATCAGAATTTCATAGATCTTGCTGCCTTGGTCCTTCAGAAGCTGACTTTTAAAATGTTTGCAAAATTCCAGGTTGAAAAATGGATGGAGAAATTGGAGGAAGCTGAAACAAAGAAGAGAATTTCGATCAAGACAACTATTGTTACGGTTTCTGTAATAGTAAGTGGCACGATTGGAGTTCTTTTATCTGTGCTTAGGTTTGACAATCTGCTTTCATACTTTCAGTTCAATAGATCTTATTCTGGTTTCCATGATTAGGCTGGTTATATGTGGTATGAGTACATTTACAAGCTGGACAAGGTGACTTATAATAAATTCCATCCCTACACATCATGGATTCCCATAACGTGAGTGTTTAATATATTATTTATACCTTAATCAATATTATGGTCGGTTTATTTTTTTATCCTCCCAAGATGCCTTACAGATGCAGAATTTGGGTGTATGGAAATTATCACTATCTTAATTTTTCTTTTGCTTTATGTGGTTCCAGTGTCTACATTTGCTTGCGAAACTTTACTCAGCAATTGCGAAGCTACTCTTTGACCCTCTTTGCGTATGTATCTCTTTTGTCTGCCAATATAATGCTCAGACTTGATTGCGTTAATTCTCATTTCACACATTCATTTATTTGCTCCACTGTGTTGTTAGGTGGCTTGGAAAGATAACATTGGAGACGTATATTTCACAGTTCCATATATGGTTGAGGTGTGTTAAGATGATTTTATTACTACTCTGTCATTCACTTTTTGCACCAGAGTCTATAATCTTAATTATAACTTGGTAGTAGATACGAATTGTTCTTTCATTATTCTACCTTCAGATTGTTATCACAGAAAACTGACATTTGTCCATAAATTCTTAATTTCATGCATTCAAGAACTACCATATTGCTGAAGTCATCCTTTATTTTGTTTGTTTGTTCGTTTTTTTTAATTTTTAAAATAACTTAATTGAATGGATAGATACTCTTTGTGTGGAACAGAAAATGTACGTTGTGGTGATTCTTTTTCGTTATAACTTCAAGTTTGTAAATGGGTATTGAAATTTCGTGCTTACTATTATATACATTATACAGAAATGGTTTCAGCCTTCAAGTCTTCCTTCCCTTCCTTCCCATATCACCATAATCAACGTCGGTTCAAACATGGTAGTCACCTACTAAGATTTAATATCCTACGAGTCACCTTAGCAATCAAATATTGTCGGGTCAAGTGGTTGTCCGGTAAAATTAGTTGAGGTCGTGCAAGCTAGCCCAAACACTCTCAAATATTAAAAAAGAATAAAAAAAATCAGCATCGGATGTATTTAGAATTTTCTTGGCTGCTATTTACTGCTTATTGACCATGGAGATGGGGTCAGTCATGATTAAGTAAATAGAATACAAATCGCATTTGGAATATAAAACCTGAAGTGGATGGAAAATCTGCACCCCTTCCTTTCCCCTCTTGTCTCTTTTAAAACTGAAGGATAAGTGAATGGTTCGAAACAAAATAATCAATGAGAAGTTCTGAGTAAATGTTTCATTGTAATTATTATGTAATATTATTGCAATTGCATTCTAATTTATTCTTGTGTGCAGATCGAATGTGCCTAATGGACAGCCAAAGTGGCTTCTCTCAATCATTCCAGACTTCCCGATGCTCAACTTCATGCTAACAACTGCCATCTATGTCATAGTAAGAACTATCTCGGTCTTAAATCGTCAAGCATGGCGAGCATTGGTTGTTAAACTGAAACTCATAATCAATATTGCATTATTTATACTTTTCTATTTTGCAGGTCTCCCTCCGGATTTTTGAGCTAACCAATACACTTAAGACAACTTTTGTACCTACAAAAGATAACAGACGGTTGTTGCATAATTTCCTTGCTGGATCTGCAATTTCTGTATGTTTATATTGCACCTCGCTGATTCTTCTCCTGATCCCTCATTAAATGGTAAGCCTCTTTTTCTACACCGCGACCTCCATCACTCTAAGCTCGTGGTCTTGTTAGAGTTGGAATTTGCATGTTCATATGAGCTGTTTGAATGAATTTGACAGGCAAAGTAGTGAAGACTGAAGAGACGTTACATAGAAATTATTTTGAATTTTTGCTTTTCGACCAGAAGGGAAGACTTTTGTTGGAGGGAGGGGGATTGCAGATAGATAGATCATGAGAAGAAGTGTGGTAGGTTGGGTGAGAATAAAAATTCTCAGCTGGATGAGTTTAGTAGTTGCCAATTGTGTCTCCCTTGAAGAAGTTTTACAGGAAAAAAGGAAAAGGAAAGAATTTTTGTAATATTGTCATCATGTATCACTTCATTCTTTTGTTATCAGCTCATTGAAGAAAATGACGATTCTTGTGCATAGATGTGTTGTCTCAGGATCAACTCGACTTCTATTATTTCTAATGCATTCATCATTTGCACTTATTTTTGTCTTCCTTCTCCCAATGTTGGGTTATTACCAAAAATAGGCTCATTTCATTCAGCATCCCTTCAAAGCAAGAAAACACAAGATTTTCTGTGTCATGATATTCCAATTCAGGCACTAATAATTAATAATTAATAATAATAATAATAATATATATATATTGAGAATATGGATATCATGACAAATCTGATGGCCACAGATAAAATGGTCAAATATTTTGCCGATAAGAATGAACAAAAGTAACAATTCAAATTGATAAAATAAAATTACAACAGGAGCATAACTATTGGTTTATATGTGAGGTAGTAAATGAAACAAGTATTCATGCTGTTGTAATACCAAAAATTTTCATGTCAATAAACATGGCATTGGGTGTTAGAGATCCATGTTCTATTGAACGTGTTTTCTTGTTAAAGTAGATACAACTATAGAGAAAATGATTATTTTTGTACTAATGTAAGAAGGTTTGAACAATGAAAGATCTTGGTACGTTGAATTGAAAAGATTTTAATGGATCCCTTGTTACTTCTTAGAGGATAAGTAATAGGTAGGAATGGTAGGATTGGAACTGGTGACATTTTGTACCCAAAACAAAAGAAGCTTAATCTTTTAAATATGCTTATTTAGTTGTTAATATTAACATAGCTCAATTGATTAATGTATATATGACTGAAAAGTTTCAGTGTTCAATTCCTATCTCTATGTGTTGAATTCAAAAAAGAAAAAGAATAGCATGCTTGTCTGATTCAAAAACTTAAGCAACTTTATTAGAGGATAAGTAATAGGTACGAATGATAAGATTGRAACCGGTGACATTTTGAACCAAAACAAAAGGAGATTAATCTTTAAGTATTGCTTATCTAGTTGTTAATATGAACATAGCTCAATTGATTAATGTATATACGACCGAAAAGTTTAATTGTTCAATTCCTATCTCCATGTGTTGAACTCAAAAAAGAAAAAAAATGCTCATCTGGTTCAAAAACTTAAGCCACCTTATTAGACAACATAATTAAATTTGGAAAGGTCGTGATTTTATCTAATGTATCCTTCATCTAATTAATTTTTTTAAATTTATGAATTTATTAGAAACAAAATTTATTGTTTATTAGATTCAAAATTGAAAATTTAGAAACATTTAGTTTGTTGGTTTATTAAACATCTCTTAAAAATTTAGGACCAAACTTGTAATTTAATTAAATTAAAATTTTAAAGTCGCGGAATTTAATTAAGTTCATACCATAGGGACCAAATTTATTAAATTATTTATTTTGTTCTCAGTAACAAAAAAAAAGAGTTAAAAAGTAACAAATAAACTATTTAAAATTATTTAAAAAGTTAATTGCACATATCACTCTACGTTYGTAATTAAGTAAATAATTTTGATATAACTAGATGTCTTTCTTATTTTCTTATTTTAATTCTTCTTTTAATGACTTTTTAATACAATAAGCGTGAAGAGATTTCTTGGTCGGAGATAAGTATTAATTACGGTTGATTTAAACTAATATTTTTTTTAACGATTCGTTTTGATTAACTAAATTATTAAATTAGTCGTAATTAAACCATATTTTTAATATTAATGATCGTAATTAAACAATACCTTTAATATTACTTTTACGAATTCTGACTTTTGCAAAAACAGGAAATTATTTTACGAGTTCTGATCTGTCTCTCTCAGTTACCGTTTCTCAACATAAAATTAAAATCGCCAAAACCAAAACAAACAACTAAAATAGATCTTACAATTTATTCGTTGCTGATACGCAGCATCCCCACCGTTGGATTGAGATAAGGTTTATGATGCGACRCTGATACTTTATGTTGTGAACCATTTTATCTGGGTCTCGCACGTGCGGCTGAAGAATCCCTCACGTGTAACGTGGTGTGTACTGGTCAGTGCACTTTTCTCCTGCTCAAGTCTCTCGCTGTGATTCCTTGGAAGTTGAAAAGAGAAGAACCGAACTCTCGCCCAACTGTTGCCTGTTGGATCTCTGATCAGATCAGTCTTCTCCTCGATATGCTCAATAAAGCTTTATGCAGCTGAATTCAAGGCCAAGCGACTGTATAATCTCGCTATTTTTCTCTCTCGAGGATGCGGTGATAATGGCATTTTGAGGTAGCGGAGGGGAGCTTAGTTTGAGCGTAATGGCAGCGAAGCTCTCGACGTGGTTTTTGAGCTCCGGTTTTGGTTCTTTGAGCGGGAAACTATCGGATAATCCACAGTTTCCTTATTCTTCTCACTATTTGCTTAATGCTTCCTGTAAAATGCGACCGCGCCGTCTCAGGTTCTTTCTCGCTGCTTCTCGTTTCAATATCCTCTCGTTGCTTATTGATTCGGACGTCTGTAATTGCTTCGGGAACTTAGGTTTTGAACTTATTCGATTCCCCGCTGTGTTTTATTTATCGGTTTCCACTGGATTTCCTCTTGTTTCTGAACGGATTCTTGGTATTCATTTAGGTTTTGTTTGCTAACTTACCTTTTTTTTTTTTTACGTAGAGAACGTGCGCTTTTGATAACCCTGTGCATTTTCTTATTTTCAGTTCTTTTTTCTGAAACGTTATTCATCTTTTTGATCAATCGAGTTTTTTAAATTTATCATCTTAACAGATTGTTGATGATTTTTTTCCCTGAATTTCGTCTCACGAATTACATTTTGAATCGTGAGGAATTGGAAAATTGTTGATATATTATAGTCTAGAGGTTACCCTTCATGCTTTATGATTTTAGTTTCTCTAATTATTATATTATATTATTTATTTATTTATTATTATTATTTTTAAAATTCAAATCAATTGAAGAAATCTCCTCCAGATGTCCTTGTCACTGGCTTCCTTTGTAACTTTTTTTCTCAGTGAAAGTTTAACAGGAGAAAATGAATACGAATATCATAAAACTAATAACCATAGATTAGTTTGGAATATATTACTAAATGAAGTTTCATGCGTTGATTTATTTTTGTTTCAATACAACAGAAAAAAAAAAATTCTGTAATGGTTATTAAAGAGTAGTTTTGCATCTTATGAGAAAAAAAAAAGAAAAAAAAAAGCAGGTTATAATGCATTTCTTGTTCTTGTAATTTATTTTTCTAAATATATATATATGTGCTGAGCGCACGTGTATTATTTTCATTTCACCTTGACTGTTGTTGTGTTTATGTGTCTGTCTGTATCATGTAATGGATACATGGTTTACTCCAATTTCTCATATATAAATTTTGTACAGTTCTCGGCACAAGAGGAAACAATGGAAGAAAGCCTCCTATGAACATCCGTCAGTGCATGCTGATAGTGATTTCCATCCAAATGATGGTGAAGACTCAGGAACTGAAATTGTGGCGGAGAGAGTCCCAATTTTGAATCAGGAGAGCTTGTCTAGTGCTGTTGTCAACAATAGCTCAGCTGTGCAGTATATCCCTGAGAAAGAAATAAGTGGTAAAACTGCACCTGGTGAAATTAAACATTCGGTAAACTAACTGCACTTGCTGATGATTGTTGTCATATTTACATCTTTGATCTTTCAATATAATTGATGCTATAAGGTGGAAGAATCTTCAGATCTCCTGAGTCATGTACTGATTTTATTATGGAGTAATATAAAATTCCAACGTGATGATTCTTGAGTATGTTATTTTCAAGATAATTGACGCTGTTCTATCGAGTGTTATTCTCTTTCTTCTGTCTCTTTTCAGTTGAAAATATGAATGGGTTATGGTTACTGCTTACATTCAGAAGTCAGTTCTGCTACTAAGCCTCTGTTGTTGCTCGGATGAACATACCTAGAGTTTTGGGACTTTGATATGCATATATTATTTTATGTATCTGATTGTTTCTGCATAGGCTTACTGTATCAACTTTGTCTATCATTCAACGAAGATTTGATATATCTCATTTATATAATTTATAGTTTTTCTTATATAATCTAGCGACGAAGTAAAGGATAACTATATAACTATGTTTCTAGTGTTTGATTAAAAAGGCATGCATTTCAGATTTTTTATGGTGCATTAAGGTTATAAAATCTTCAACATATTTAATGAAATTCGAATTAAGGAGTTTAAATAACTTATGTGAAACTTTTTTTTGGAAGCTTCAATTGGTCAAGGAGCAGAATGTCTTTTACTTATCTATCTTGGTGAAAAATGAAGTCAAATAAAAGATTGAAAAAAAGTAATGTTTTCTTGAGGGGAGTAGAGACCAGATGGACTTTCATTTCCGTGTTCATATTAGAGAATTCTTTTACTTCTTATCAATTTCTTTTTCTTTTTTTTTCAAAAGACATAACATTGGGTAACATTTTCTGAACTCAATAAATGAAGCTCCTTGGTAAGAGAATCAACGGAAACGATGTTCTGATTTTCATGCATACCAAAGTCACTCTGTTCAGTAGCTACACTGAAATTTAGCTGCTTCTGGAACCTTTCCAATTTGTCTTCCAGCTGTTCCACGTGTACGTTCTCTTGGGCAGCAACTTTAATTCAAGCATCAGTTTCTGCAACTCTCTTCAGTTTCAACCAAGCCTGAGTTCATAGCCTGGAAGAATATCTTGAAAAAAATCCTTTGAGGAGAAATTTCTGAGATTAATGGCTTGGAAATGAGATTAGAAGAAACTGAATCTGAAATTAGAGTTGCTGCCCAGGAGAAGGTACTCATGGAACTGCTTGAAAGTCGACCAGGAAGTTTCAGAGCAACTAAATTTTGGTGATGGTACTGTATAGTGCGATCTTGACTGATATGCTTGGAAATCAGAACAATTTTCATATTGGCTTTGTTATAAGTAGCTTCATTTATTGTCTTGTCTGGATATATAGCAACTGAGGCAGACAATTGAATATAAGTCTTCTGAATTTTCAGACCGGGAAAGTTGACACTGAAGAGAAGAATGCAGGTGTTCAACTTGAAGATTTGATTGGGATGATAAAAAATGCAGAGAAAAGTGGGGTTTTTTTTTTTCTTTTAATCTTTTAATGTTCTATTTGGATGTGCCCTCCTATTTCGTGCTGTATGCAATGTTGGTTCTTATTTTACAGATATCCTTCTACTCAACCAAGCTCGGGTTCACACCCTCAAGGATCTTGAGAAAATCCTTGCCGAGAAAGAGGAATTGCAGAAAGAGATCAATGGCTTGGAAATAAGATTAGCAGAAACTGATGCTCAAATTAAAGTTGCTGCCCAAGAGAAGGTGCACGTGGAACTGTTGGAAGACCAATTGGAAAAGTTGCAGAAGCAGCTAAATTTTAGTGGTGGTACTGAACAAAGCGACCTTGGTATGCATAGAAATCAGAACAGTGTTCCTATTGATTCCCTTACTGAGGAGCTTCATTTACTGAGGTCAGAAAATATTATCCTGAAGAATGATATAGAAACACTCAGGGAAGAGTTGAATAATGTTAAGAATACTAATCAACGTCTGGTGTTTTTGGAAAAAGAACGATCAGTTTTGGAGTCTTCGCTGAAAGACTTGGAGTTTAAGCTGTTGACCTCTCAGGAAGATGTTTCAGAACTGTCTGCTCTGAAAGTTGAATGTAAGGACCTACGGAAGAGGGTCGAAGACTTGCAAGTTTTGCTAGGCAAGACAACCAAGAAGGAAGATCAAGCTATTCTGGTCTTGCAGCAGAACCAAGAGCTGCAAGCAAAGGTCGAGAAATTGGAGGAGTCCCTTGAAGAAGCTAATGTCTTTAAATTATCTTCTGAAAAGTTTCAGCAAGAAAACAAACTAATGCAACAAAGAATAGATGTATTGGAGGATCGTCTTCAAAGGTCGGATGGGGAAATACAGTCTTATATCAAATTATATCAGGAATCTGTGAAGGAGTTTCAAGATACGCTGGATACCATCAAAGAAGCAAGCAAGAAAAGAGCTGTAGATGAACCTATAAATGATATGCCTATGGAGTTTTGGAGCCGAATATTGCTATTGATAGATGGTTGGTTGCTTGAGAAAAAAATATCAGGTGATGATGCTAAACTGTTGAAAGAGATGGCATGGAAGAGGGATGCACGCATTTATGAAGCTTATATGGCTTGCAAGGAAAAGAATGAACTGGAGGCTGTCGCTATGTTTCTTAATCTGACATCATCTCCAAAACGGTACAATAACTGTAACTTAGAATATATTGCCTTAGAGGAAGATGTTTAATCAGTATTCTTGTTTATCTTTAGTTCAGGACTCTATGTCATCCACATTGCAGCAGAAATGGCACCAGTGGCTAAGGTGAGTTGTAGGTAGCTCAATAGTTAATAGGCTCTGTTAATATTAATTTTTGTGTTTGAAGGTTAGTGCAAACTATGATAATGATTTTCTTAACTTCTTTTATTTTCCCTATCCTCGTCCTCCCTCCCACCCCCCTTTGGATGAGAAATGTAAGGAAAAACGAAAATGAAGATTAGAAATCCTCTTACTTGCACGTTAAGGCTTTCTTACCTCTATGCTCCCCTCACCTCTCTAGTCATATGTTCTACTCTATCCTTCTTTGGTTGCAATTAATGCAGAAAATGCAAAATAAAAAGTCAATTATCTCGAGGAAAGGCTTTTAAAATGCAGTGCATCTTCATTTGTGCTTTATATTCAAGTGTCGTTTGAAATGTGCAAATAGAATCCCACATCTTTTAGAATTGCTTTTTTTATATGTTAAGAGTAGAATAGTTTAAGGAATGACATTTCTTTTGCAGGTTGGTGGTTTGGGTGATGTTATCACTGGTCTCAGCAAAGCGCTGCAAAGTAGAGGGCATCTTGTGGAAATTGTTCTTCCTAAATATGATTGCATGCAGTATAATCGTATTAGAGATTTAAGGGTATCTATTTTTTAAGTATAAAACTAATGAAGGAATAAGCATTGCTAATATGCTATTTTGGTGTTTTTATTACTCTTTTATAGTACTCTGATTGTTTTACAGCTTCTGGATGTGATACTTGAGTCATACTTCGATGGGCGGCTGTTCAAAAATAAGATATGGGTTGGCACTGTTGAAGGTCAATATTTATCCTTTGTCTAAACTTTTATTTATTATTATTATATTTTTAAAAAGTGTCAATCTAACTTCTACTCTTTTTCTGCAGGTCTTCCTGTTTACTTTATTGAGCCTCTTCATCCTGATAAGTTCTTCTGGAGGGCTCAATATTATGGAGAGCATGATGACTTCAAACGTTTTTCATATTTCAGCCGTGCTGCACTAGAGTTACTTCTTCGGGCTGGCAAGAGACCTGATATAATTCATTGCCACGATTGGCAAACAGCATTCATTGTACGATTTTTAATGTTTGTTTATGATCATTCTATCTTTTGGCAACTGACATTAATTTCTTTCTCAGGCACCATTATATTGGGACTTGTATTATCCCAAAGGATTGAATTCTGCAAGAATATGTTTTACTTGCCACAATTTTGAGTACCAGGGCACTGCCCCTGCTTCAGATTTGGCTTCTTGCGGTCTTGATGTTGACCAGCTAAACAGACAAGACAGGTTACAGGATAATTCTGCTCATGATAGGATCAATCCTGTTAAGGTGTGTATAGTATTTCAAATTGACCAGTCTCTATATTTATAGCGAGGTTTACATGATTGGATTGACACTGTTGTCCAGGGTGCAGTTGTATTCTCTAATATTGTCACAACAGTATCGCCTACCTATGCTCAAGAGGTGCGGACAGCTGAGGTAAGATATGCATCAAATATTTACCCAAATTAAAGAGAGTACTTAGTATCACAACTTGATGTTTAATTTGCTTGGGGGAAAATCTCGTTTTCTATCAGATGATAGTGTGAAGACCCAACTTTTCTTTTAATCATACATTTTAGATATTTGCCGTTAGCCAATGTGCTTAGAAAGTGTTTGTTTGAAGTTTTTCTGTCTTCTGAGGCACTGGGACTGACTTTCCGTTTGGGCTACAGGGAGGACATGGTCTCCACTCAACACTTAACTTTCATTCGAAAAAGTTCGTTGGCGTTCTCAATGGAATTGATACTGATGTGTGGAATCCTACCACCAATTCATTTCTCAAAGTCCAATATAGTGCAAATGATCTCAAGGGGAAGGCAGAAAATAAAGACGCTTTAAGAAAGCATCTAGGGCTGGCTTCTAATGTCAGAAAACCTCTGGTAATTATATTTTCTTTTTAAGACAACAATTGATGTTATCGGGTGCCTTCTGTTTCAAAGTTTACTAGGTCCGTTTTGTTTCGTGTTTAATCTATAGGATTTGGTTGTGCACCATTGTGTACGTTAAGACTGATATAACGATACCCGGTATCATATGCATGACACCTTATATGCATTCCTTTTTTTTTTGCCCTCTTGTGTTGAGTACCGAAGCTTCACTCCACCTTTTGATTACTGGTTACAGTTGTGAAGTGGGATTTATTAATTGTATTCTGATTATTTGTTTGTGACCCCTCTTAAATGTATGTCAGTTATTTTGATTTCATGCTAGCGTAGCATATTTATAATTTAGTTATTGCATTTGGAACGAAATCCTTTTTTTTTCTTTTTAATTTGAAGAGTTGAGATATGATTACAAAGAATAGTCAATGAAATATTTATCCGCACTTTAGTTTCATTTCTGGTTTTCCATGATGTGGTAGCAGTGACGTAGGCTGCATAATGAAATTGGAGTTTCGTTGGATTTAATTCAAATATTGGTTGTGCAATAGGTGGGCTGCATAACAAGATTGGTACCCCAGAAGGGTATACATCTTATCAGGTACGCGATATACAGAACGTTGGAGCTGGGAGGACAGTTTGTTCTTCTGGGTTCAAGCCCAGTTCCTCATATACAGGTTAAAGTTTTGTGCCTCACACAAGAAGTTCAATTACTCTTGATACTGATTTCTTTGTCATTTGAGATTTTTTTGATCTGACCTTGTTGGCCTTCTATGTTTGATTTGCCAACTCTCATGTGACTAACGCCCTTCTTACAATTGCTTTTTGGTCCATGCAGAGGGAATTTGAGGGTATTGCAAACCATTTCGAGAGTCATGATCAAATTCGGTTGGTGTTAGCATATGATGAGTCTCTTTCTCATTGGATCTATGCTGGATCTGATATGCTGATAATACCATCTATCTTCGAGCCATGTGGCCTCACTCAGGTAAGAGAGAGGTTGTTGGGCTTTTTCTTTAACCAAAAACAAAAATTTTTCATTGATATTTGAATAGCTGTAGTATAGACATCAAGAAACTCCCTTTTGGATATTACAAGGATCACCCAACAAAGAAAAATCCCTGCCTATAGTTTCAAAAAAGCACCCAACAAGATTGATTACATTGGTGGAATTAGTAAATTCTTTTGATAGAATAGTGATACTAAAAAGCTGCATAGTGTTAATAATCTCTACTCTTTCCTCCCAAGTAACTTATTTGCTTTAAAAAATGAGTTGATTTCTTTCTCCCTTTTGAGTCGCTATTACTACACTAGTCCACGATAATTTAGCACTATTTTTCCATCCCATGACCTCATAGAAATATAATAAGCATTGTTTTCAACGCCCAGGTCAAAAACACACGGACAACAAAACCCTTGAAAAACTGCCTCCCAATTTTTTCTGCTACAGAAACAATTAAATAACAAACGATTGATACTCTCCTCTGCATTCCAACACAAACTGCAGCAGCTTGGATTTATTGATATATAAGGGCGTCTTTGGATTCTTTCATCCAGTTTGACTCATCCAAGAAGATTAATCGCCTTTTATAGGGCATTTAGATTTTCACAAAGTAAAATGGACTCTTAGTCAACCAAGGACGCCTGCCAAATGTTTAAACAAGTATTTAATTGGGAAACCGGCCACATCAAATTACCCTATTTCTTATGTCTTGTCTTCTACTAACTACACCTAAAATCAATCACAATCCATTTCTTCATCCCTAAGGTTTTTTCTTACTGCAACTTTTAAAGATCTCGATTTTTTCTCCCCATGCTTGACCCAGAGTATTTTTTCCTCCCAAGTTCTATAGATTATGACTTATGAGAAGTTCACTTGTAATACACCCAAACAATTCCAGTATAATAAGAATCCAGATTCTTCTTTTTTTTTTTTCCATCTATTAATCTTATTAGAGGCCTCCACTCGGTCCCATTAAGAATGAATCTATGCCCATCTTCCTTCCCACAAATTTTTGTAATGACTAAGGATTCCATTTAGAATTTTCTTATATTCGAGGAGACTCATCACTTTATCTGAAACAAAGGTTTTCCTCTTTCTTGAGCTGGCAATTATTGGAAAAGTGCAAAATTTTCATCCCCTTTACCATTTGATCTTATCTTTTTGAAAAAGACTACTCCCCTCTTAACAAATATCCATATATTCTTTCACCCCCCATGAAAGATAAGGAAATTATCTTTACAAAATCCATTTTTTCATCCCCTTCAATTTTTTGTAGATGATTGCTATGCGATATGGTTCTATTCCTATTGCAAGGAAAACTGGCGGGCTAAATGACAGGTGAGATGCACATGACCCGATCTTGTAACATCGTCTGTTTATCTATTTCTTCAGAAGTTTCTTTGCTTTAATGGTTCAATGTTTACTGTGTAGTGTCTTTGATGTTGACGATGATACAATTCCTCCCCAGTTTCGAAATGGATTCACATTTTTAACTCCCGACGAGCAGGTAGGACACGGAAAATGAACTTAATACTGAGTGCATCAATGAGATTGATCTCATAACTTTGGCAACTTATATTTGTTTTGACAGGGGTTGAATAATGCACTGGAACGCGCCTTTAGCCACTACTTGAATAACCCAGGCGGGTGGCAGCAGCTGGTTGAGAAGGTCATGAACATAGATTTCAGTTGGGAAACTTCAGCTGCGCAGTATGAGGAGCTTTATTCAAGGTCTGTGGCTCGAGCAAGAGCGGTTGCCACAAGTCGTGCTTGAGGAGAATGCGAGTTCCTTCTTCCTGGGCAATCTGTTATTCATACTCTCAAAAAGTTTCATGGAGAGAGACTGTCTGAGAAATTTTGGTGCATGATCGACTTGATTGTTACCAGACACTGAATTTGAGACCAATTTGGTGGCTTATCCATCCTAAGCTAGCATGAAACCGATTAATTGGTCATCAAAATAGCATAATATTCCTTGACAATGGACGTGACACTTAGCCCCATACAGCACTAGTTTTTACTAACAATATTTACTTATCAAACGAAGACTGCCTCGAAAAAGGAAAGGGGAGATCTGCCCTTTGGGGTTTTTTCTTCTTTTTCTGTAGATTATTTTTTTGTATATTGTATTAATAATCTTTACCTCGAATATCAGAATAGAATTTATCTGAAATTCAACCATTTTTTTTTTCTCTATTGAATTTAACCATCACCGAAGTCGATTTTATTGATCATGAAGAAAGAAACACTATTGGCAAGGCAAAATTTCACACAAAAGAACTTCCATTCATTTTTCATCTAATGTACACCACCAGCAATAATTTCAACAGCATAGAAACTCTCTCATTCGCTCCTCTTTACAAATTCTACTTCCTCACTCACTTTCCGGGAACAAAGTTTGTGGCGTAGGCCCAGGCGTTGTTGTTAACTGGGTCTGCAAGATGGTCTGCCAAGTTCTCCAATGGACCCTTTCCAGTCACAATGGCCTGAACGAAGAACCCAAACATGGAGAACATGGCCAACCTTCCGTTCTTGAGCTCCTTCACTTTCAATTCAGCAAATGCCTCTGGGTCATCAGCCAAACCCAATGGGTCAAAGCTTCCACCTGGGTAGATCGGGTCGGTCACCTCACCGAGGGGACCACCGGCAATACGGTAGCCCTCGACGGCGCCCATCAACACAACCTGAGATGCCCAGATGGCCAAAATGCTCTGTGCGTGGATCAAGCTNAAAATGCTCTGTGCGTGGATCAAGCTGGGGTTGCCCAAGTAGTCGAGCCCACCTTCATTGAAGATCTGAGATCCAGCCTTGAACCATACCGCTTCCCCGAATTTCACACCGTTGCGGGATAGAAGCTCCGGGAACACGCAGCCCAAGGCCCCAAGCATAGCCCACCTAGAGAATTCAAATATATTTTCAAGAGATTTGAAAAATTTTAGCAATTGAATTGTACATAAATTTAATATGTATTCTAGAAAATGGAGTGACTTTTCATTTTCTTAAAATCTAGTATAGGTGTAATTTTTTTTAGTTTAAATAATATTTTGTTTGGTGTACTTTCTACTTTACTTCATTTTAATAGTTGTATTTTTAAAACGTTTATTTTGGTTTTTTTACTTTTAAAAACTGATAATTATGGTATTTTCATTTTTACTTCTATTTCATTTATTTCTATCATAGTTTTAGCAAGATACTTCCATCATTGATTGATTGTTTTTGTAATGTAGCAATAAATTTGTTTAAAAAATTTCTATGTACCACTAAAATGAACCATAGTTGAAAATACAAAATCAACATTTTGAAAGTTAAATATATATATATATATATATAGAAACAAAATAATTTTTGTAATACTTTTTACATTGTACTTAGGTTTGAGTTGCATTTAGATTTTATAATACTTCGATAAAATTTTAAAAATTTTGCTATGTTTCAATATATATAATAATGCTTAAAGAATTTATGCTTTGATTCTAATCTAACCTGGAGTGGATGACTTCGAGTTCGCGGTTCTTTGCAAAGGTCTCAGGATCTGCAGAAAGTCCGGCAGTGTCCCAACCATAGTCTCCGGGAAACTCTCCAGTTAGGTAGGACGGAGGCTCACCGGAGAACGGGCCCAAATACTTGACACGGTCAGGTCCATACCACGGGCTTCCAGAAGAAACAGACTTGGAGACGGATTTCCTCATGCTGACTCTCCCATTGCCGAGAAGCTCAGGGGAGGAGGGCGTGAGCTTCACCGCCTTTCCGGCGAGTGAGGGGGAGGAGAGAGCCATTGTTGAGGCCGACATTGGAACAACAAGAAAGATACTTTAAGTTTAAGCTGCGGTTGTTGTGATGACAGAGCCGTTGAGGTTGGAATTTATATAGAAGAGATCCTTATCGCGGGAAAATCAACGTCTACGATTCTATTGGCTGAGTAGTATCTCCACGTGGCAGTTTCTTAGCCACAAATGAAACCTCATAGCAAGAAGAAATAATTAATATAGTTTTATAATATCACATGGTCCCACTTGTCATCCAATCAAAAACATGACGTGGAAGGTATTAGATATTCATATATCCGATGGAGATGCAAATTTCTTGGTATATCGAAGATTTTGAAGATATTGGATAAGATATCATCAGCTTCAATTCCTTATCCCAATTATCTTCATCAAGTTCTTTGGCAAGCTTAAACATAAACACATCATATTGAAACACAATTTATGAACTAAATTGGACCCAAAAAAATTAAGTAAATGAATCTTTAAATAGTCTCTTAAGAATGAAATTTTGTTTTGTATATAAGATCTTAATAATGGAATTTAGTGCACATCTAATCTAAAATTTCATGAGTTTAATCATTTTAAAAAGAAATATAAAGATAAAAAAATATTACCAGAGTCCAAATACAATGACCAATTAATTGATTTAATTTGTTTTTTATAATTATTTTTTTATGTAATTGTTTTAGTTTATTAGTCATTTAGTGAGTTTGATCATTACTCTATTAGAAGATTAATTAGGAAAAATTTTGATTTTGAGGGAAGATTTTCTCTTGACTTTTTGGGTGAGCAGAGGCTCCATCATAGATCAAATTAAAAGTCCATGCATTAAAATATATAATTCCTGCCACTTCAAGAATTTAATTTCATACTGAAGAAAAATTAGATTAAGAATTTGATATAGAGTTTAAAAACAAATTTATATTTTCAAAAACATTGGAAATGTTGGATATTCGAAAAATACGTTTGGCAAAAAATTTTGAAAACATAATTTCATTACAAATCACAAATGAAAAATTTTGTAAACCCCAAAAAGTCCTTCTCCATGTTTTCCAAATTTATTGGATTTTATTTTCTTTAAACAAAATTTAGACATAATTTAAATTTCCCACTTTTAATATATAAATGCTTTTTAACTTTAAAAGAGTATTGTACGTAAATTTAAAATTATGAAAAAATAAATTACCAAACAAGAAATAGAAATGGAGTTACCAAAAAGATTATGGTGGAACTGTAGTTATTATTGTTACAGTAAAAACTATTGTAAAAAATTATTGCACGGTAAATACCATGAGTCACTGAGAAGATAGAGGAACTATCCAGGTGTCAACACTCCATTGGAAATGAGGATAGCCAATGCAGGATGTTCGAGATTTAGCAAAGAAATGCCACGTGGGATCGTGAGAGAAATCAGAACCAATAGAAATAGAAACAGAAATGCAATTGTTGATCTGTTGAAACCATTATATATAGTCCCCAACGAAGCATGTCATCTTGCAATATTCAAATATTCATACAACTCTTTCTTTGTGCTCCTAACGCTAAAAGCATACTTCTTCCAATGGCGGCCTCCACAATGGCTCTCTCCTCTCCGTCACTCGCCGGAAAGGCGGTGAAGCTCACGCCCTCTTCCCCCGAGCTTCTCGGCAATGGGAGAGTCAGCATGAGAAAATTTGTCTCCAAGTCCGTTTCTTCTGGGAGCCCATGGTACGGACCCGACCGTGTCAAATATTTGGGCCCATTCTCCGGTGAGCCTCCATCCTACCTCACCGGAGAATTCCCTGGAGACTATGGTTGGGATACCGCCGGACTTTCTGCAGATCCCGAGACCTTTGCCAAGAATCGTGAGCTCGAAGTCATACACTCCAGGTTAGATTGAAAACATACCATTTTCAAATGTAGATTTAGAAAGTTTGAAATTTTACAAAACTAATATAATCCCAATCCAAAAGGTATATTTTTTTTAAGTTTCTTTTACACTATATTTAAAGAAGATAGAAGGTTGAATTATACAAAATACTTTGGATAGGTTTCAACAATACCATCTTTCACTTTTACCCTTCAACTATAAATTTATTTCAAAATAATTACCCTTCATCAATTTTTATGTTAAAGTGAAAATTGAAATTAAAAGTGACGGTAGTACCTGTTGTAAAGGTGTTAAGTTCAATTTAGTCAAACTTTAGGATAGATTTTACCTATATAGTCATATCCAATTCTAACATTTCATTTTAACCCTTAACGATTGAAATTTATTTCAAAATGGCCTCATTAGAAAATGACAATTAGTTGAAGAATAAAGGTTATACCCACTTGGACATACAATGGTGGTGTAGTTGTAAAAAAGTCAAAAGGGTTCAAAATGGTCCCATTAGAGGAAACATATCTAGGAGATAGAGTTTTGATTGAAATGATGTTGAGGAGGCTACGCATTGTGGGAAACGTTGATAAAAATCACAACCTATCTTAGAAAAATCAACGTGGAGAGAAGTCAAGAGAGAACTTCATATAGTTCATGCATGAGAGGAAAATAGAATAGTGGGGTCGATTGAAAGCGTCAATATATGAGAGGTAAGATGACCCATATCAAGATTCATGAGATTTCATCTCAAAATCAATTGGCAATGAAAGGAGTAGCCCATGTCTATTATAAACCATTGTTAAGTCTCTCCTTTTATCAATGTGGGATCCTTAACCACCCAAAAACAAAAAATGGACATATTGATGAAGGAAGATAATTTTCATCCTCAAATATAAGAAATCTATTATTTTTCAAATCTCTTGAAAATATATTTGAATTCTCTAGGTGGGCTATGCTTGGGGCCTTGGGCTGCGTGTTCCCAGAGCTTCTATCCCGCAACGGTGTGAAATTCGGGGAAGCGGTATGGTTCAAGGCTGGATCTCAGATCTTCAATGAAGGTGGGCTCGACTACTTGGGCAACCCCAGCTTGATCCACGCACAGAGCATTTTGGCCATCTGGGCATCTCAAGTCGTGTTGATGGGCGCCGTTGAGGGCTACCGTATTGCCGGTGGGCCGCTTGGCGAGGTGACCGACCCGATCTACCCAGGTGGAAGCTTTGACCCATTGGGTTTGGCTGATGACCCAGAGGCATTTGCTGAATTGAAGGTGAAGGAGCTCAAGAATGGAAGGTTGGCCATGTTCTCCATGTTTGGGTTCTTCGTTCAGGCCATTGTGACTGGAAAGGGTCCATTGGAGAACTTGGCAGACCACCTTGCAGACCCAGTCAACAACAATGCCTGGGCCTATGCCACAAACTTTGTTCCCGGAAAGTGAGTCCTAGGATTCAGAGAGTGAGAAGGGAACTTGTGTTTGGTTAAACCATTGATGGTGGTGTAAATTTCGGGTTTGAACAATTGAGTGCTCGGTTTGAATGAATTTCATTTTGTTTTTTCAACGATAACAAGGCGATGATATATTTCTTGAAATATGAACACTTGCACCAACTAAACATGTCTTTCGAAGAAGGGGAGTGTTTTCTTCATCTAACAATGGAGTCTAAATTGTTGTTTCAAAAGGCTTTTAATTTGTCGTCCCTGAAAATGCATTATGCATACAGACCTAAAACTCTTGGAATTTGTTCCTAAACTGTAATGCATCTGCAGTACCAACTTACAAGAACATATAAAGGTGGGAACTTGCTCACCCGCATCGATGAATTTCAGTTCAGAACTGTGTTCTTTATATCTCATGTCAAGCATGAGAATCCATTGAACTTGGCAAACTTGAACGTGTAATCATTCATACAAACTCAATATAAGACTGAGTTTTATTGTTACTACTAATATTTGTACATTTAAATCTACTATTCGTCCATCTGCAGCTTCAAAAGGGTAGACAGAACTTCATTCATGTCAGGTCTATTCTCAGGATTTTGGTCGGTACAGCTTACTGCTAGTTTGAGTAGTTCTTCTAACCTTGTTTGCTCCTTTGAGTGATCCAAGACCAGCACAGGATCCAAAACTTGAATAAGCCCTTCCTTTCCATTTGCTAAAGCTCTCTCTACCAGTTGCTGCAAGCTGACTGGGAGTCCATCAGCTTCAATGGTTGCAGTTGGCCTTTTCTTTGTCAGAAATTCCATCAGTATTATGCCAAAACTGAACACATCTACTTTTGTTGTGACTTTCCCCATGTATGCGAACTCTGATAAGAAGGGAAGATTGCATAAAACTTTTACAAAATTTTAGTTTGGATAAGGATCCATTCAAATTCTTGGATTAATTTTCCAATTAAGGTCATTGCAGAGCCAAACTAGAGCCAGTATGGTTAAAAATATCACGAACCGACCAAGTTCTTTAAATTCAGTTTGCTTATACCAAATTCATGATATGGGATGCCGATTGATTATGTGATTGATCGTAATATTTTTGCATGTGGGGTCATAGTAAGAACCTTATAATCTTTCAAATGGACTATAAGATATTACCTGGAGCCAAATATCCGATAGTGCCTTCAAAAGCTGATGAAGAGGAAATGCTACTTGCGTCTTGGCTTTGCACCCCCAGGACTCTTCTAGCCGTTCCAAAATCGCTCACATGGGCTGTCCAGTCTCCATCAAGGAGAATATTTGAAGGTTTCAAGTCACAGTGAATGATGGGAAAATCATATCCATGGTGCAGGTATTGCATCCCACTAGCAACAGAAACGCAAACATCAACTCTCTTCGACAATGTCCAACTACGTTGATCTGTTTCAGGGTTATGTATTATTCTTTCCAAGTTCCCATTTTCCATGTATCCAAGAACGATAGCCTTCAGTTTCTGGCTTTCCCAAGCATATCCGAGTACTTTCACCAAGTTCCTATGTCTAAGTTGACTAAGAATCTTGATTTCTCTATTGAAGCAGTCATCTGATTCTGCAGAGAAATATTGCAAATTGAGTCTTTTTACAGCTACAATCTGTCCATTCTCCAGTTTACCTTTGTAGACAGTGCTTAAAGAACTGGAACCTAGAATGTTGTTTTCACTGAAGTATTCGGTTGCAATCTCCATATCATTCTTATCAAACCTCTCAAGGGTACATGCGTAGTCCAATGATGGTTCAGGATTCTCAGTACTTACAGATCTCTCAAGCTTACAATATCGATTGAGGACTAGAATTAATAAAATTATAGCTAAAAGTATAATAATAGATCCAAGGGTTATGAGAATTAGTAAGGTCTTTTTTGATAGATGTCGTGAACCTTTCTTTCCACAAGGAGCAAAGAAATTGGATCCACAAAGAGCAGGATTTCCTATCAAGCTCGATGCATTTATTTTTCGGAATATTCCAGTGTCTGGAACAGGACCTTCTAGTTGATTGAAGGAAAGGTTGACGTACTTCAGAGCTGAAAGTTTTGCAAGGTTCTGAGGGATGCTGCCATTGATCTGATTCTGAGAAAGGTCCAACGAGTACAAGTGCTCCAGATTTGCCAATTCTTCTGGGATTTCGCCAGCTATTTTGTTCTGTGAAAGGTTCAAGTTTGTGAGCATATTCATTCCAGTAAAAGCTTTATCTGGAAGCATACCAGAAAGATCATTTCCTGACAGATCAAGAAAGAACAGATTTCTACAACCTCCAATTGCCGTTGGAATAGTCCCAGTGAGATTGTTGTTTGAGAAGTCAACAGATTGTATCATTTGCAACAACCCAAGCTCAGTTGGAATACCTCCTACCAGAAAATTGTATGACAAGTTCATGTATAGCTGTATATTTTTCGTACCTAAGATTAAAACCCCAGGAATTGGTCCAGATAGATGGTTGTGGGACAGATCCAACATCTCAAGTCGATAAAGATTCCTCATACTTTTAGGAATGGATCCATTAAGCATGTTACCATGGAGATCCAAATATGAAAGGAGCTCTAGTTTTGAGATGGCGTCTGGAATTGGACCTATGAACTTGTTGTTCTGCAAATGAAGATGAATCAGTTGTTTCAGATCAAATATTTTCTCTGGAATCTTTCCTTCCAATGCATTGTCATGCAAAGAAAGAGCTTGAAGAAGAGAAAGCTTAGACAACTCTTCAGGAATTTGACCTGAAAATTTATTTTCTGCAAGTATTAATGTGTTGAGTCTGCTTAAGTTACCAATTTCCCTTGGAATTTCCCCAGAAAATGAATTTGATGCGGCTCTGAAAACTTCAATATTGGAAAGCTTGCTAATACTGGGTTTTAACAATCCAGTGAAATTGTTTTCGGCCAGGTCAACGATAACCAGAGATGAGCAATTAAAGAAATCATCTGGGATTTCACCAAAAATCCTATTTGATCCGAGGAGGAGGGAAGTTAGATTCCGCAACTTCCCAAATCCCTTAGGTATTTTCCCTGTCAGCCCATTAAATGAAAGATCAATGATAAAAAGCTGGGTGCAATTGGTAATACTTGATGGAATTGAACCTGTAAGGAGATTGCCGCTCAATGTCAATCTCTTCAGGTTATAAAGTAGACCTATATTGGATGGAAGCTCTCCTGTAAAGAAATTGAAGCTCAGAGACAAATGTGTTAGGTTTGTCAAGTTTATCAAAGATGAAGGAATCACCCCAGAAAACCTATTTGAGTGAAGAGTCAAAACCTGCAATGATCTCAAAGATCCAATATCAGAAGATATATATCCATTTAACTCATTCTCTGAGAGAAGCAAATGGGTTAAACCTTTCAACCGAAAGAGAGATTGTGGTATAGTGGAATTTAGTCTATTTTTATATAGTCGCAAGGTTTGTAAGTGGACCAGAGAGCCTAGCTGTGAAGGAATTGGACCACTGAACTTATTGTTGTATAGTTCCAGAGCAAGAAGGTTCTCACATTTACCTATCTCTTCAGGAATTTTCCCAACCAAAGCATTCTCAAACAATAAGAGAGACTCCAAATTCAACAAATTCCCAACCTCCACTGGTACAATCCCAGACAAGTTGTTCTGACTAAAATCTAGAGCTTGCAGTGCCTCTAATTTGCCAATCGAGATGGGAATGGAACCTTCTAACTTGTTGCCGTAAGCAACCAGAATCTGAAGATTGACCAAGTTTCCTATGTTCAATGGGATTCTGCCTGTGAGATTGTTAAACACCACACCAAAGGCCAATAAATTCGTGCAGTTGCAAATGCTCTCAGGAATGCTTCCTTTCAAAGAGTTATTGCCCAAATCAACTGATTGCAGGAGGCCAAGGTTTCCCAACTGTGATGGAATCTGACCTGAAAGAAAATTTCTGTAAAGAGTGAGCTGAGAAAGGTTGGAACACGAACCCAACTCACCAGGAATCTGCCCAGTAAACGAATTCTGAGTCAGATCAAGAACCTGGAGAGCAGAGAGGTTCCCAATAAAAGGAGAAATCTCGCCTCCAAGCTGCTGATCAACCAGAGTAATCGAAATGACACGCTTGGAATCAGGATCACAGACAACGCCCGACCAATTGCAGTGATGGTTTAGGTCCGTCCAATCAGAAAGTGCTCCCAATGGGTCTAAATGGATGGCACTCTTGAAGGCCTTTAAGGACTCGAGTTCAACTTCCATGGCCGAAAGGTGTTGGGCAAATAGAACTGGAACCAGAACAAAACTAGCTATCATGAAAATGGCTAACCTGACGCTAGAAGCCATTGTTACTGCTTTCCGAAGTGCACTATCTCTCTTTCTCTCTACAGACACTTATAAATAACAAAATAAAAACATAACCCATCGATCACAGAAGTCACGAGTACAGCTCAGAAAAATTAATCAATGACCACAGAGATATAGGACAAATAGAATATTCAATTATCTCAATTATCAAAGTAGGAGAAGTTGACTATCGAACTTAAATTGAAGAATCCAAGCTCACTTGCCCATTTGCCACCGACTCAGGCATTGCTCGAATGGAAGAAAATCCAAAGAATCGAGAGTTCGATCGGTGATATTCTGCAGCAATTGGCTGTGTGTGAACCCGCCATACAGCTTACCAGACGCGGATTTCAGTGAATCAATGTGTGAGAGTGGAAAGCAGAAGCAGCAACTTGCAAGAAGGGCAAAAAATGGCGAAGTGGGACTCTGACAATCCCCATTGACGAGTGTGTCGCTTTGCAGTATGAAGTAAGCGCTGAAAATTGTTTGACTGTGGATGTTAGCGGCAATTGGCAATTGGCAATTTGGCCTTATCTTTCCAGAAAAGCTTCTGCACAGTTTACAGAATGTAAATACTCTGCTGTTTTTGATTTATACGTTTCTCTTCCTCTCTCTCACTCCATCTTTTGAATAATAGAGTAATGGTTTAAATAGTTGGTTCATTTAAGTCCAATCTTTTAAATACTTTTTTTTTCTTTTATCATTTCACTCGCAAGCCAGGTTTATTCATGATTTTACTATCGATAGACTGATATTTCGAAAAAAAGAATCACGAAAGTTGTGAAAATTTATAAAAATTATTTAAATTAGTAATTAAAACTTTAATTTCAACTCAATTAGGTTAAAATTGATCACAACTTACCTGAAAATGTATAGAAATATCGGAACATAATAATTATTAAAATTTAATGTTTCTTAATTTGAGATTGAGTGAGTTATGTTTCTAATAGATAAAATTGTGAAGAAGAATCGAAAATATAGACATTTGTAATAGATAAAAATATTAAAAATTCTAATAAGGTTAAACAACATTTCGATAATATTTCGACATCTCCTCCCCTTTCAACCACATGTTGAGGTGGTCGACACATGGTTGTATTGATTGATATTTAATATCTTGATTATAATATAAATTATATAGTTGACTATTTATAATATTCTAATGAAATATTTGTTATACAGTTAAAGAATATAATTAAGAAATAGGATACTTATGTAAATACCAATTCCCAAATCTCCCAAAGCCTTAAAATCGGCTCCCCATTTTCCAATCATAAATTAATTGAAAATGTTTAGCAGCTGTGTTGAAGATGGAGGAGAAATTGCATGGGAAGAAAGTACAAAAACACAGATAAAAGAGAGAGAAAAGGAAATCACGAGGGATTCATCTTCCTCTCCTTTATCGGCGCGGGGTGGCTCCAGGTGGTGGCGGTGGCGGTGGTGGAGTTGCCGCTGCATACCGATTCATGGTGGATTTGTGGACGAATGAGGCAAAATGGTGAAGATAAAGATGCATCAATTGGACGTCGCGGGGTCGCATTCTACATTCCGGGATTTCGAGTCGATATTCCAATATATCGAGATATCTTATCGAAATGTGACACGTCGATATGTCTCTTGACATTTAATATAATGATCACACGATATGTTATCTTTCTACTTACGGAACGTTAACACAAATTTGTGTATTATAATCATAGTTTTAAATATCTGTCGATACGTCGACATTTCTATTGACATATCCATGTTTTCGTGTGTTCGACATCGACATGAAAGGTGAATCGACAACTCTATTATAATACAAGAAAATTGACAAAATATGAAAAATATCGTCAAAATGTCACTATATATATATATATATATTATTTTAACTAATTTAAATATAGTAAAATGTTTATTTGTTAATTTAAATATTTTTTATGATTTTTTAATTTTAAAACTTTTAAGAAATATCCATCGACATCGACATTTTATCGATATTTCCATGAAATTGAGACTTCGACATTTCCATCGACATAGACATTTAAAACATTGACGACTATGACTTAATCTCGATAAATTTAGTAAATGAATTGTATCATATGAACTCTCTGATTAAATTTTTAATTTCATAATTTTTTTTATCACAATATGTAGGGGTGGAGATTCAAACTTACAATATTTTAGTCGGAGATAAATATCCTTAGTCATTGAAGATAAATATCATGAGTCATTGTTTTAACTCGTTGAACCTTTTTTTTTTTACGGAAGTTGAACTAAACTTAGATGGGTTAATTTGAGTACCTTTAGTATATAATAAATTTTTTTTAAAGCAATTTTAGTATATAATAATAGTAAAGCATATTATGTCATCTAAAAAAAATGGTAAAAATATTTACAAAAACATATTATAAAATGCCTAATGGGCCTACCTTCATATTGTAGCCCACCAGTGTCAAGCTGGGTAGGGCGTAAGAGATGATCAAGCTCAAATATTTCAGTCCGACCGTTTGGAATCATCGCTATATTGGGCCAAATTCGGCTTGTTAGCGCCAACTAACCAAACGTAGAAACACAACTAAAAAAAACTAATATATAAATGCATTTTATAATAATATCTACTGTTTTTCGAACAATCCATTTATAACTTGTTTATTTTAGGTTAAAATATTATTTTGGTCCCGGTATTTGTAGTCTTTGTCCATGTACCTTGAAAATGTTCATTTTGGTCCTTGTACTTTTAAAAAATAATATTTTAGTCCGTCTTCGCAAGATTTTAATACAAACTTTACACAACAAAAATTATTTAGTATAAAGTAATGTTTACATGACAATAAATATATTAATTATAATGTGGAGTTGAAATTGTGATAAAAAAATGAGATTTAAATGAAATTAAATGACTAAAATTGTCACTTTTTAAAAGCACATGGATCAAAAATTTTGAAAGCAAATGGACTAAAATGAATCAAAGTAGGAAGTATAGGGACCAAAATGAATATTTTAAAAGTATAAGGATTAAAATAAACCAAAGCTGAAAATATAGATATCAAAATAATATTTTAACCTTTATTTTATCATCATTGTCTGAATTTTTTAATTAAAATACTTAATTTATCGAAACAAATGATACAATTTAACATTTGTAATACTTGACACAATAAAAAATAAATTTCTCTCTTACAATTCCTTGAAATCAYCTATCAATTAATGTTTTTTTTACAACCTAAAAAAGTAAATATTATTGTCTTTTTTTAAAGTATATATTTATGCTGGTGAAAAATTACTAATTTTATGATTATAAACCTACAAGAGTGTTATAAATAAAACTATAGCATGAAGGACCATGTTAATAAAAGTCAATAACTTTTTTGGAATATTTTGTTTTGTTTGAAGAAGTAAATACAAGTTGAAAATGAACATATATACGCTTGTGATATAAACATATATATTAAATTGTATGTATATTATCTTAAAAATAAGAGGTTAAATTAGTTTTAATATAAACATATTACAATTAATTAATATACATATTTTCAATAAAAAAATTATGAATTATAATATCCTAGGGAAAAGAGACTAATATAGTTTAAACTTTAGAGTTTAGATAATTAAAGTTTTTTCGCAGTTTTTTAAAACCAATAACTATTTTTAAAAGATAAAGACAAAAGAAGTTAAAGATAACAAAATTATTATCTAACGAATACCTGCTAAATCATGGGACTAGAAAAAAGAACACCAAATCATAATTACGAAGAGATTAAAGTATAGTCAAAACCAAAATTAGCTTCTTTTTTATTTTATTTATTTTTTTCGTCCAACCTTTCTTAAAATCCCCACACGAGGAGTTGTTTTCACGATACGCATTTGTCAAACCCTGTGGACCCCACTGCTCCATCCGATCACGCGTGCTTGATCCAACGGTCATAATAGCATCCCATAATCTACGGAAATCATTTCAATCCAACGGCCATCAGCTCTCTGGGTTTGACTATTGTCTGTCTCTTACATGATGCACAGATTCCAACAAAAACCCAACTAAATTTATTAAATACCATCCCATCCCTCGTTCTCTCTCTCTCTCATCTTCCTGCCAGATCTTTCGCTTGCAGACCAAATCTGGGGACTGATCTACCGAACTCTTAAGAAATTCGTCCGATCGTCTTCGTTTTCTGCCTGATTCAGCTCTGGAATCACGTGGGTGAAAAATTTCTGTTTGATTTTTTTGAGAAAACTTGTTTGTTTGCCTTTCTTTTGCCTTTCGGTAACGAAGCTAGGGCTCGTAGAGATCCTTTTGGGGCTACTTAATTGCTGGATGCATAGTGAGCGAACTTAATTTTTGACTAATTTGTACTTTCACGAGCTTATTCTTCTGATTTTTTGTTATTTTCTTACTGTCATTATTGCTGGTGTCTGGTGCTCTTACGATGGGGCTTTTCTAAATTTAACTTTAAATTACCGTGTTATTGTTTCTGATCTCGTTGATCTATCCTGTTTCACTCTTCATTTTCCGGTTATTCTGCACTTGATTCATTTTCCTGGTGTTTGGATACTGAGAAAATTTGGTAAATGACTGATATTGAGGGTCCGTCTCCGTCTGGGACTATGACTCAGTTTGGGAGAGAATATCTAAACCAGATCACCTGGTACTTCTGTCTTTTAGCTTAATCTCATTACCCTAACTATCTTTGTTTTGGTCACTGAGTATTCTGTCTGGATATGCTTGTTTACCGCTGGAGAGGTCTTGTTTTTGAATTTGTTAAATTGTACTAACCAGTTCTCTTTATTTACCCTTCAGTTTAGGATTGGGTTCGTCTTTTTATTAAGTGGAATTGGAGAGTAGAATCAAGATGCCGTGGACATCTTCCTTGGTGAATTACAGTAGCAAGTGTGTTCGCTTGGTGGTCTTCTTTCGTGTCATTCTGTAATTTGGTCTGCACGGTGAGATTTCTAATCCTGGAACTAATTCGTTTATGTTGATTATGACTACACTTACTTAGAAACATCCACCAAGTTCTGTTTTGGTAAAAGGAAATTTTATTTTGGTATGTTAAAACAATGATATTTCACTGGCCTTCTACTCGCTTGTCAAGGATAGGGATTTGTTGGGCTCAGCTGGTTTTGTCTTTTCTGTTTTTGGAGGTCTAGTAAGAATTTTGGAATGAAAAAAAAAGAGTCTGATTTTGTGTACTTACAAATATAGTTTTAATCTTGTGCTTGTGAAATTTGGGAGATCTTTATGCTGTTTGCTTATGGTTGTGTGCAGGGAGAATAAAAAACATTGACTTTGCTGGTCTATCTTATTCTTGCGGTTGTTTTACTTTTATATTACTGGTTGGAGGAGTGAGAATGTACATTGGAGTAACGGGAAAGAGTTACAGAGCTGTCAAGGAAGTTGGGAAGGTTAACATGAGTGTTGGAATCATTGCCTACTACCAAGTGATGCAAGTTTGTCAGGTAAACTACAATCTTTGAATTTCTCTCTGCCTTGCTTTGTTTGCTGTTTACAGTTCACACATTTGAAGTATCTGAAACTTCATGTCGTTAGCTCTCTCTTGGCTAGTTCCATAATTATCTTTCAACTCTAAATTAATTTCCTAACTACCACTACTTTATATAGCAAGTTTTTACTTGCATATATCATAAATCTTGATATTGCGAGTTTTTACTTGCAACCCTATCCAGTTGATTCTTTTTTCCGTTTGTCCTATAGCTAAACTAAGGTATTATCAATTATTCTCCAAATATTGGGCATAAATGTGCACTTTATCTTGTTAGAGTCAAGTTTTTCTTTTTCACCTCTTCTCTGGCTTGTTATTTTAATTTTATATTTATTGCATCTCGATGAATTAACTGTATTTTTAGCAGTTGCACTCCTTTGGAGTTCTGTATTTGAGTGAATTTTGTAGTTTCAAGAAGTGGTGACTAGTTAAGTTATCTTAGTGCATATTTTTCATTTGTTGCTGAATAACTTGAATGAATGTAGCACATTATTGAATGGAATGGAATAATACTTTTTAGTTTACTGCTATCATTACTGAACTACCAAAGCTCATTCCTAATGCTTTTATGCTGATTACTTCCAATATTGTTCCTTACAGGCCGAGTATTTTCGTCAGTTGCTAAAACCTGTCACGTAGGGTAATATTGCAAAGAGCATTCGGACATTGGGGAGTTAGGTGGACTGGCCTCCATTTGTGCTAGAAGTGAAGAAATGCAATATTTCTTTCCTGTTTGTCTTTAATTTGATATAAAGATCTCACTTATTTTAAAATGGCAACGTATAGAGTTGCTGTGTAGTCTTCTCATTAGTTATCATCCCGTTTTTTAGCTTCCGTAAAATAATTGCAAGCTCTCCTGAGAGAAGACGCGCCAACTCAAAGTTTGGAGAGTTTCCCTTTTGTTTGTTTTTTTACATGGACTTCATGCAGAGCGACCTCAAATTTTACCTCAAGAAGGCAATGCTTCCAACAGCAAACCAAGGGGATGACAATCACATGCAGATTCCTCTGTCATCTGCCTTTCCTTCTGTTTTACCTCCTGGGAGAAAGAACTTGGGACCCTTCAATGCTGTTGAACTTCAACCTTCTGAAATTTGTCCCCAAAATTTCATCATCTTTGACCACACTGATAATCGAAGTCAAATCATGTTCCATCCTGCAATTGCCAACAAACTTAGTGGTCCGACTGCAAATATGTGCTCGAAGTACATTCAAAATAATCTTTGCGTCAATGATGAGCATTATGAGGATAGAGATATATCATCTCCTTTGATGGATGATTTGGACGGTATTGATGCATTATTGAGCTTGGAAGACGAAGACCTTGATGAATCTGAAGATGAAGAGATCAGCACTGCAAGATCTAATTTGAATTATGGGAATAGATCCCCTGATTCTTCTTCATCCTCCACTTATAGTTCAAAACCCAGGAGGAAGAACCAGACATTTAATCCTATCCAAAAGTCATTGTCAAGCAGCCGCGGAAGCATCTGCGACAGTGACATGAAACAGTTGAAAGTGAAGAAGATGGTGAGAAAACTGAGAGAGATTCTCCCTGGTGGTTACCAAATGACAACCGTCACCGTTCTCGACGAAGCTGTTAAATACCTGAAATCTCTCAAGGACGAGGTGCAGAAACTTGGAGTCGGGGGTTTGGAGAACTAAGGTTCAAACTTCCATTGGCATCAACTGAAAAACTCTGTAAGGATTCTGATCTCCTGTGTTTGTCCCCCTCCACCTAGTAAATGGGTTATATTATGATATTGTTTCATGCCACAGAAGATTCTTAGCGGTTCTTCTAAATTTCAAATGCCTGTGGAGAATGTGTCTCTAAAACCAGGATTTCTTGTCAGGCTCCTAGACATTGTTGTTACACCTGTTTTCTTTATGTTCTAGTTTGGTGCCTGGAAGATCTGGGATTGGCATTTGTTGTATTTGCAGAATGTTATCTTTGATTTAAGACCGCCATGTACTGTTCTCTATTGTCAATCTTTTTCGGAATCTCTATCAGTAGTTTCCCTTTCCTCATCTGTATTTGGGAATATGGAATCCCAGAATATTCTTGTGGTTTATGAGAATCTATCTACAGAAGAATTTGGAAATATTTGCTCTCTTTTTTGCTTGCCTCTTTGGTATGGTGAAATGTGATTTTGATTGATTGATTGCCTTCCCGAAACCATAAACTTTGTTATTTTTTATTAATAGATGAAGATTTGAGCCTGAAGARGCAGATGTCTTCCATTTTGTTAATTATCGCTGAGTCTCTATCAGTAGTTATACTCACTTTGGTAGCTGATGTCTTCCATTGCTAAGCAAACTAACTTTATTTACACGAAAAAACTAAAAAACTAATTTTTACTCATGTTCTTGGTAAAGTTAATTGGCCTTTTTTTAATATTTTTTCTCCAAAGTTTGGGGGCCTATGAGATTTTTTTTAATGAGTTTCTATAAAAGAAAAATCATGACCAAAACATAGCACTACAATTTAAGAGAGAAATGTAAAAATATGGATTTTTTTAATTTTCAGTGAAGATAAGATTTATCGTTGAGTAGCTAAGTATTGCTAATCTACCCCAATAAAACATAAAAATTTTAAATATTTAAATTTAAAAAATAATTTTATATAAAACTTTTACATTTGTAATTTAAAATTATAGTAGGACGGGAATAAAATATAAAATTTTTACATTTTTAATTTAAAATTATACAGAACAAGCTATAAATAATAACTCAAACACATTTTTATGTTCCTATTTTTATTTATTCAAACTAGAAACTAAAAATTAAAAAATTGGAAATCATAAACTAAAACCGCATGAATACCAAATAAATCCAAATTTTATACATTCAAAATAAAAAAGGAATTAAAAAACATAAGGGTGGAGCTAAATACATTTAGAAATAAGTCCAAATTTTATATATTCAAAATAACATACGAATTAAAAAACATAGGAGTGGAGCTAAAAACATTACCAATCAAGTGGGGTAATTCATGATTGATCAGAGAAATTATCACTGAGCTTAAGTTTACGTGAGCTACTTTGTCCTTTTTCGTTGCAATTATTTTTGTTCTTAAAATAAGTTTAGATTAGTTTAAATTCGTTATTCAGAACCCATTTTCGTTCACAGACATAGTAACAGATAATGAAATACTCTAAMCCAAGAATTTTATTAACATGATTCACGCCATAGAAAATGGTACATCAAGATCAAACAAAACTTCTCTTCTAAAACCATCTTC